AAAAAAAAAAAAACCAGGCCAGGATGAACTGTGGGTTGCCTTGGGTAATGGAATGGGAGGAAAAAGAGAGGGGGTCCAGCCATGGGGTGAGGTCCCTGGCTCTAAGGCTGTTCATTTGTGACTGTAGATTGCAAAGATCGACGGTCACAAATGGAGAATCAGGGTAAGCAAGGCCCGTGCCCGTTGGGCAGGGTGGGAAAGGGAGCTGGTGGTCCAGGATTGGCCGTGGTCGTCGACGTGGTTTACGAATTCTGTGTCGGGATTCGGAATGACGTGGAAATTCGAAAACCGGATAAAGCCGTACTAAGCGCGCTGGGAATCTGTAAGACGCAAATCAGGAAAAGGAAACCGAACAGAGACTGGGCAAAACAGGCCAGCTTGGGAGGAATGGACCGGCGTAGGCGTTTCTCTCCATGGCCGGTTCTACCACTCTCCCCTCTCTCACGTAAGAGAGCGGCAGAGGCACGGCGTGCTGCTGGCGACTGGCGTCGTGCATGGCGGTCGTGCGTCGTGCATGGCCCTCGGCCGTTCATCCTGACGAGGACATAGTCTTTTGTCGAGCTGTATCGACTCAAGCTGTTGGCCCCACGCAGCGCAGCACCTTCGTCTCTTCTGCTTTCCTCTGAGGTGAGATTACACACATTCCCTCTCCTATTCTAGACCTGCTCCCCCATCGACTCTGCCACGTCCTCACGCTCACCATTTTTCTTCTTTTTCTTCATCATTTTTCTTCTTTTTCTTCTCTTCCTCCCCTCCATCTGTTAGCATATGTATCCACCACGGTCTCGTCCCCGGATGTGATATGAGTCCTCTGCCGTACGCAGTGGCCAGAAGCCACAAACACACACATGCACGGACATGCACACCGGCGGGCTAGAGAGAGAGAGAGAGAGAGAGAGAGAGAGAGAGAGAGAGAGAGAGAGAGAGAGAGAGAGAGAGAGAGAGAGAGCTAAAAATGCGCGGGAAGCGCAGACCAGACCAACGCCCAGGCGCCTGCTGGAACGGTTGGGAGGAATAGGGGTTGCTTTGGCGCGCGCGCGAGAGAGAGAGAGCGAGCGAGCGAGCGAGCGAGCGAGAGAGAGAGAGAGAGAGAGAGAGAGAGAGAGAGAG